TTTTTAAAGGTATTTTGTCTGAGACTCTTTGTTGTACTGTGAACATAAAAAGCAAATATTTTAAGGCAGCCTTTTCAAAAGTATTTATACCACTATCTTCAAAGCAGAATTCAAGAAAACATTATGTTAGTTTTTTAAAACAGCCCTTCATTTAATATTTTAAACCATGACATGGCTAAAAAGTTCGGCATAGAGTTCAGCCATGAAAATGTCTGTGACCAAATTTAGACTTTTGCTGAAAATAAACAGTCTAATTTAAAGGGAGACAATTTAAAGAGAAAATTATTTTATAATCTTTTCTTTCACTTAACATGAACTTTTCCTCAACTTTCTTTGTCGTCCAAGAGACACATAAAAAAAAAGTAATCTTTATTCATTAATGTTTTGTTTTTTTTTAACCGGCTAATATTGCTCGTGGGTTTGTATCTTTTTTTAAATCTTTTTTAAAACTTTCTTTTTGAAAAATTTTTTTTTTTAATAAAATTAAAAAATATAACTTATAACATAATTTTGTCTAATATTAATATAAAAATATATTACATATGTGGGCGGAAGAGAGTGGCAATGCAAATGAAATATTTGTACTTTATGGTATTTTACTTTTATACAAAAAATTTTTATCCTTTAAAAAAATATATTCTGCTCCTTTAATCTGGGAGGCTTCATTAAAGCGCAAATTGGCATAAGTGCGAATTAGCATAAGTAAAAGGCGTTGCAAAAACTGGCATTAGGGCGAATTGGCATAAGAGAGAAATAACAATTTGCGTTATGCCAATATTTGCAATTTTATTCGGCCAGTTCGCACTTATGACAGTTTGCACTTGTGCAAATGTTTGCAAATTCCTTTGACTCATGCCAATTCGCACTTATGCCAGTTCACTTTTGTGCCAGTTTTTGTAACTGCTTTGCACTTATGCCAGTTCGCACTTATGCCAATACGCATATATGTCAGTTCTTACTTACCCCATTAAGTTCGCACTTATGAAATTCGCTCTTATTTAGTCGTCCCCTTTAATCAAAAAATACTTTTTAAGGATAAAAAGCTTTGTTTAATTTCAAATGTCTTGACATTGGCTAAATATCGTGACTCTCTGTAAAGACTAAAAAATAGAAAATAAAATATAGCTAAAACATTTGCTAAAAAATTTAATATTTTATAGTCTTTTCTTTCACTTAATATGATCTCTTCCACAACTTTTTTTGTCATCCATAGCACAAAAATATTTAATATAAAAATTTGTTACTAAATTGCTTGCGGGTTTGTTTATGATAGTAATATTTATTAATTATCAAATCTTTTAATTTTTAAAATAATATTGCTTGTGGGTTTGTTATTTTTTTTTAATATACTTTGTTCTCTTTTAGAAATAAATTTTTTTATTTTTAAAATCAGCTAAGATTGCTTGTGGGTTTGTATTTCTTTTTAAATCTTTTTTTTAATACTTTTTTTTCATAACTTACAAAGTTGTGTTAACTTTGTTTAATATTAATTTAAAAATATACTACATCTGTGGGAGGACGTGGGCTGCAATGCAAATGAAATATTTGTACTTTATGTTATTTTACTTTTATATAAAAAACTTTTATCTTTTAAAAGAAAAATATTCCGTTCCTTTAATCAGCAAATACTCTGTTTTTTTTAGGATAAAAAGCTCGACTTAGTTACAAATGTCTAGATAAACGTATTGCTAAATATCGTAACTCTCTGTAAAGACTAAAAAGTAGAAAATAAAATTAGCAAAAACATTTGCTAAAAATATAATCTTTTTGTACTAAAAAGTAGAAATAAAATTTTTTAATTTAAATTTAATAGTTCAGTAAACTAAAGATTGACAGATATGTTTCTATATAAATCTTGCGCAGACCTGTCAATCTTTAGTTTATGGAACTATTAAATTTAAATTAAAAAGTTTTTAGTACAAAAAGGTTATATTTTTAGCAAATGTCTTTGCTATATTTTATTCTCTTTAAATTGTTTAAAATGTTGGTGTAGCATCCAGATATCAGCAAAACTTAGCATTAAAGTATCTTTTTTTTTTTTTTTTTTTTGACTGTCAAATATTATTCAAGATGTTAACAGTCATAGGTATGCATACTGGACACAAAGCTGAAAAAATTCCAAATGTTCTTGAAAATTTACCTGATAAATTAGGCGTTCAAAAAGAACAAATCCTTGGGATCTGTACCAATAACAGGCCAAAGATGGTAAAAATGTTTATCGGAAAGTTGGTTTGGAACAAATGTAGGCAGAAGTAATATCATTGAAGGCAAGGTACTTTTAGTAAATCTGATGAAGCTGAAGTACTAGTGCACTTTAGCTCACCATTTACCAATGTTATGTGGACTGTTATTTGGAATGTTATTTAGGTATTTGTAAGTTTTTAAAAAGCTTGCATGTACATTTCAGTACTCAACAAGCTTTTGCAAGCTTGTGATTACTGAAATATTTTTGTATGTTTTTCTTTACACTTGTTTTTATTTGTATTTTATAAGACATTCCAACATACTCAAATATATTCTTTATTGTCGTTGGTTGAGCTAAATTAACCAGTTACATTAAAGTTCAACAATATCGGACACTTAGTCTATGTTTGGAAACTGTTGTAGGAACAGTTGATTGAATATGATTGATGCAAAAGCTTAATGAGCAAAATTTTGGATTCATTAAATTAGAAGCTGATGAATTTTTTAGATAATTAAATGACTTAACTCTAAAAATAAAAGTTCTTAAGAGAATGCACTGAGTTCAAAAATGAATGTTCTTAAGAGAATGCACTGGGTTCAAAAACAAAATTTCTTAAGAGAATGCACTGGGTATGATAAAAAAAACAATCCAGCAGTATAGTCAAGATTTTATCCGAAAAGAAAAAAATTTCATTAGAGGAATTAAGCGTTTCCTTTCTTATCTTATTTTTATTATTCAAACAGCATACAAAATGACCAGAACACTTTCAGTGACTTAAGTTAACATTATTTTCAATGTTGTTGGGTGTTTTCTTTACTCAAATTTTGCCAGGCTAAAAGATTCATATGGCTTTGGATTTTATTTATCATTTCGTTCTGTTTTAACAAACAAATAATATATATTTAATATTTTGTAAGCTATTGATTTTATTTAAAATAAATTGTTAAAACCAGAAATTGTTTATTGAATACTGTTTGCTTCTACTTTAGTTTTTTTTATTATTATTTCTGTTTTTATATGAAATTTCAATAATTGCATGAAATTCATGCAAAAAACGAGACAAGTCACAGCTGTACATTTTCCTTATATGCTGGAGCTGTAAAAAAAAGTCATGAAAAAAAAAACAGCTCTCAATGATTGGTTAACACAAGTTGTATTTTTACGTATAAAGTCACATGGTTTGTTTTCAAATTTTTAATTGGTTAAAACATTTATAATATTAATTTAAGCACATAAATTATTTTTTTTTCAATGAAATTAAAAAAAAAAAAGATTTAAGCAAATTTTTATAAAAAGAGTTGAATAGGTTGTTTTAAATAATTGTTCATAAGTAAAGTACATTCAAAAGAATTAATATATCGATTCCACTCTATACAAAAGTTTTTTTATTTGTGATAGTAAAATATATTGTTTGGAAAATTTTTTATTTATAAATTGTAACATTTAACTTAAACATCTATTTCAATCAATTTCCAAACATCAGTTTTTACTTGTAGACAGTTTTGCAATTTTATTAGTTCTTTAATAACAACCTAGATCTTTTTGTTGTTATCTAATAATATTTATTTATACAGTCATACACATATACATGCATAGATTTTATTTAAAACATAATTTTTTCTAATTTGTTGATTATAGTGTTTTCTTTTTTTGATTTTTTTTTTTTTTTAAGTTCAAACTGATGAATTTTTAAGTTCAAACTGGAAATTCAACAGATTGCTACATAAATTTTGATTAGACTATAATAATTTAATTAATAAAATCCGATATTTTGTTACTTTTTTATTATTACTAAAGTTTTTGTTGGAATTAAAGTTGAAATTTGAACACTATCTTGATTTTAAATAATTCGTAACCTAAATGCTGACCTAAAAGTGTTTCAATGTTTTATTGTAAAGCCTTTTTTTTTTTTTGCCAATCTTTAACAGATTAAGGTCAGCAAAAGAATGCCGACCTCATTTTTGCTTCTTCTGAGGGCCGCTAATTACTTAGTTTTAAAATATAAAGTTATAAAAGACCACAGTATGCATTGAATATAAAACAGCTACAGTACTCATTGAAAATATAAAAGACCACAGTATACATTGAAAATGTTGACATTTATCTTCCAAAGCAATTAGTAACAATTGAGTTTATATGCGTTTTATATATGTTTTAAATGACATTTAATTATTTTGATTACTATGGTTTTTAATCAATTTTTTGTTAAGTATTAAGACTTTGATTGCAGTTCGGTAAAATTAATGTTCATCAAATTCTTTTTTTAATCCTCATTCTAATAAAAGATTTTTTTTTTTACTTGGTAACACTAATGGCACTACTAAAAAAATAGCTTTATTTTAACATGGTTTGCTATAAATGTTTGTGTTACTAAGGGGCTGTCCATTAATTACGTCAACAATTTTTTTGAAATTATTACCTCCCCCTTCCCCTTGTCAACAATTTGTTGAGTTTCCAGAGACCCTCCCTATAAAATTACGTCAATATTCGATTACCCCCCCCCCCCTCCCCATACAAAGAAACAACGATACAAACTCAGCCTATTTTTAACTTTAATTGAATCCTCTCCCTACCCCCCTACCCTACCCCATTGTCAACAATTGTCAAAAAAGCTCAGACCCCCCCCCCTGTATTCATTTGATGTAATTAATGGATAACCCCTAAATGTAAAAACTTAGACTTGGTACTTCTAATTTTTTTTTACCATTTTAAGTTTTTTTAAGTTATTTAAATTTAATAAGAAGTTTAGTTCTATCTTATTTTTTTAGTTATAAAGCTGTTTTTTTTATCATTAAATTAAATTTGAATATTTTAGAGAAGGAGCAATTGATCGTCTTGTTAACATTTACAAAAGATGTTTGCCACAATTGGGTGTAAGTTGTTTTAAACATGATAAATAGCATTTAACAAAAGATTTAACAACAAGTTCTCATTTTAAAAAATTTTTAAACATAAAATTCTTATATTCTATAAAAAGAATTCACTAAAGAAAGTGTTTTGTAGATTGTGTATACTATACATATAATCTTTTTAATGAATAGATAAAATTCATATACTGTGCATAATCTATATTAGAGAATCCAATAATCGATATAAAATAAACCAGAAAATCAAACAAGTATTCAGGAGTTACTGTTATTAATACCATATTACTCTCAGTAATATGGTATTAATGATATTAAACCGGGTATTCAAACAAATTATTATTGATTTGAATATATATATATATATATATATACACTCTTAGTTGATGTAGCAGCACTCCCTTGCATGTTTAACTTATTATTATCACTCAACAATGTACTGAAGCCCCTGGCAGCTATCAATTTCAGTTTGATGTTATACTGCTTATCAAAGTATGCTTATCGCCCTTGGGTATCTTATATATTATATTGAATATTTATCTAAGCAATATGATGTCATACTGAAACAGATAGCTGTCAGAGTTTCAGTATATACATTGACTGACTATCTAAGGAGAACATGCAAGGGATTGTTGCTACTTTTTGCTAACTGAATGATCTAAATATGCAAAAATAAGTTTGTGTGTGTGTGTGTGTAATATATATATATATATATATATATATATATATATATATATATATATATATATATATATATATATATATATATATATATATATATATATATATATATATATATATATATATATATATATATATATATATATATATATATATATATACACATACAGTGGTGTACACTCATGGTCACCTGATGGCAAATGTCACCCAAATCTTTTCATAGGGCAATTGGACAATTGGAAATAGTGTTTTGATACAATTCAGTCACCTGACCAGGCGACTTTTTTTACTCAATTCAATCGCATTAAATTATTAAAACATTAAAATATTGCTAAAGTTATTTGGCGAGCTCTGTTTATGCATTTAGAGAAAAGTAATATAAATAAATTTGTTGAAAAAAAATACTTTTATGTACATTAATCACAACCAGGGCCGTCGAGAGTTGGATTGTTTATTGAAGGACTAGATAGTCTAAATTAACAAAAAAAATAAAACAAAAACTCTAGCATAGTTTATGGTGTAATAAATAGTTTATGACCAGCCCTTCGCGTGAGAGGCGTGCGGTTGCATGCTTTATATGACCACGCATATAGTTCTTTGTTTTAACAACTTGACCACGGCTTTTTGCAAGTTTTGATAATTAGTGTGTTTAAAAGATGTGCTTAAAAAAAAAACCAAAGCAAATTAAAATTAAAATAAACAATCCATAAACTGAAAAGAGAATAAAATCTTTAAAAAAATGTATAATACAAAAATTAACCTAAATATATATATATATATATATATATATATATATATATATATATATATATATATATATATATATATATATATATAAAGAATGATTAAATTAATAAAGGAACAACCAGAAAAAAAATCAAAACATTTTTTAATGTAAACTTAATTGTAAGCAAAAATCACAGCTCTATTAATCTTTATCATCTTTATCATTCCTTCCCATGAATAGATAGGCTAATACAAGGGTGGATCCATAGTGAGTGAAAGAATCATGAGGGCTCCCTTTAACTCCTCCTCCCCCCCTCCCCCTCCTCAGATTTTTTATTTATTTTTTTAGAAATTGATGTTTAAAAACGTAACTTAGGCTGTTTAAAAAGTGCCATGAAATTTAATAAAATTTTGTGGCGCAAATTTAAAATTTTATTAAAAAGTTAATAGAATACAGGGTGCAACAAATAGACAAACGTGCGCGTATTTCTTAAAAGACAGACAGAAAAACAAACATCACGCTTCTCTAATTTTGCTTATGCAAAATAAGTTGCCGTTTGATTAAGATTTTTCAAAATGAATGCATAACTTCTGCAATTTTTTTTCAAAATAATTTTGCGATCAATAGTTTTTTATTTATTATAAAAACACATTTAAAATGAAAAACAATTAATTTCAGAGACTTTTTTAAAAAAATGCCAAAACATAATTACTTTTTTCAATGTTTTCTTATTTTCAATAAAGTGAAATAATGTTTGCTTGCGTATTAAAAACACTTTTAAAAGTTTTTTTATTGTGCATTTATCATTAATTTTTGCACACTTAGCAAATGTGTTAACAGGGCATAACTGCCCCCATAACATTTTGATTAATTTTATATGAAAATAAAAAACAAAATGTGTTTTTTTAACAGTTTATTTCAATAACCGCATTATTATGCTTTAAATTGATGCAATTAAGAAAAAAATTTAACGGTTTTTGAAAATGTTATTACACAAAAATTACACAGTGTAAAAAATGGTTTTACCCCCATTGTGAGGCACAACCGCACCTTCACAGAAATCGTTGGGGGTACACTTTTCTTGATACATTTTCTTTACAATTGTCACAGCTCAGATTATTTGCTGATTTTGTTGCACGTTTGCATACTGTGTAGGCATTCTTTGTATTTACAGTCTGAGTTTTCGATATACTCTTATTCGATATACTCTTAGCTTTATATTTTAATCAAAAACTCATTTATAAATTTTAAACAAAAAAATATGAAACCTTATTTCCAACATCTCAAAACAAAACTATTTCAATTCAAGTTTTTACATGAATGCATTTAAGTGTGACGATTGTAATTATAGTTATTTGTAATTACCTAACTTTTTAATTACCTAACTTTGATAAATATCAAAAGTGTGCCGTTGTGCCTCCTGTGCGTCTATGCGGTTTTGCCTCAGAGGACAGTTTTTAGAAAGAATACAATTTCATAGCTTGCTTATTAGGTTATGTTGATATCATAAATGGTTTTCACTTGATGAAATAACGCTGATAATAACACGTCTTTAACTCTAAAATCAAGTATTGCTTAATTCTCAAAAGAAAGTTCTGGAAAAATATGATGTAAATATAATATTTTTATCAAAATAAACATTATGCACAGCTTCTCAGAAACATAATAGGCACTCTTTTTGACATAAGCAAAATGAAGGAAACTGTTTTGCTAATGCGTGGTATGTTTTTAACCATATTAGATAACATTTTTCAAAGGGAAATTTTAAAAAACGGTTGTGCTTCCATATGTGGTTATGCCGCCACTTCCCCTTTTATTTTGAGAATGCAAAATTTTCTAGTTTTTACTAAAAAATGTGTAATCAACTTATTTTTTTTGGTACTTTGTGTTGGCAATTTGTGATTTATCACTAATTTTATTTAGGGTTATCTTGGTGACAGTGGGATTGTAAATTTAAAAAGAGCACAACGTATTTTACAAGGTATATTTTTTAACATTTTTATAAATAAAACTTAATTCTGATTTTTAATTATACTTTAGTTTTGATTTTTAAGTATTTTTCAGTTTTGATGTTAATGTATGTTTTAGCTTTAGTTTAAAAATATATTTAATTAATACTAAATATTTTGGCTAAGAGTGTTTTTAAAAATACAAAAAAGGCCAGAAAATATTTTCTACTGTATATATATTTTTGTTATTGTTTTACTCTAGGTTATTGTAATATAAATACTGTTCATATCAATTTTAATGTTCTTGAAGTATTTTAAATGTTTAATTTTAAAGGAATTTTTTATGTGTTTTGATGAAGCATTTATTTTTCATCATTTTTATTTTTGTGTAATTTTTGATTAGGGCCCTGCGAAGCTTTGAAATTTCGAATCGAATCAAAAATATGATTCGAGATATGATTCAAAAATTTTCAAAAATTCGAATCCTTACTTATTTTGTTTTTGTTGTGGGTATTTTAGATATTCTGCACTTTAACACTAACAAAATAACGTTGCTTATCCTTAAATACCTTTTTTAATCAGTCATTAAAAGGTTAACCAAGGCAAGAAGCATCAACAAAGGGATTATACAATTGTTTTTTTTTTATTTTATTTTGAACTATATATTATTAAATAAAAAATGCTTAAATTTAGACTTCAAAATGTTGATTCGAAACGTGATTTGAATTGCGAATCTGCTTTGATTCGAGATTCAATTCGAAACAGAAACTGCCGATTCGCAGGGCCCTACTTTTTGATATTTAAAAATACATCTAACCAAATTCACATTTATTATTATAATTTAAACACACAAGATAAAACCAAAATATTTTTGAATATTTGTTACATATTAAAAAAACGATTTTTTTTATGAACTAAAATTAATTTAGTTTCTACAATTTACTTTATTATAATGGTTTTAGAAGTTGGTGATGTTGAAGATGAAATCTTTAGAAAAAGACAGCAGTTTGAGGTTGGTTATTTTATATGAGCTTAAAATAATGATGGTGTTAATGTATTACTACTTTTAATATATTTATTATAAGGAAAATATGAAAGCACGAAAAAAGCAAAACGATGAACGCAACAAGCGACAAAAAATGGTGTGTTTTTATTTTTTAGGATGCTTTTGTATATTGTATTCTAATTGAAATGGTATAAGAAATACTGTAATCTTTTTTTTTTTTAATCTAATAAGGAAGGCTGTGATTCCCCCTTTTGGTCACCAAGGATGAATGGAACACCCCTTGGTGCAAATCATTCACCTTTTATGAGAACTCCTAGCGCATTTAATGAAGTTTCACCAAATATGGTATTTTTGTTTTTAAAGCTGCTTTTTACTGTTAAAAGCATTTTTGAAAATTATTTGATATTTTTTGTAATTTAAGGATGCTATCTATTTGTTTTTTATAATAAACTGTTTAATAATTTCCTTAATTATTATTGTTTAAACAAAGAAAGCAGCATCTGATTTAAGACAACAGCTAACACCTTCAACAAATAATAGTTCGGTAAGTTGATAGTGTATAAGATTGTTTTTCTTATTGGTGTTTATTTTTTCACATTATATAATGTTTTCAATAGAACTCCATACAAGCTACACCAACAAGCACAAGTAGAAAAAGACATTTAGAAGATAATGTAGAAAAAAATGAGTCTGATGATGAACCAGTTGATAATATCAGGTAATAAAAAATATTTTGTTTTATTTATATTAAAATGTTATTTGTATTTATTTCTATTAAAATGATTTTGAACGATTTAAAATGATATGACTGGTTTTTAGTTGTCACAATGTAATCATTATACAATAAAAGAAACATTTTTTTTTGTTTTTATTTTTAATGGTGAAAAAATTTTTTTTTTAAACTGATTTTATTTGTTCAAAAATGTTTTAATCTTATTTCTTACCTTTTCCTAGAAAAGTTAGTTAAGTACAATTCAGTATTATTTAAAAATGTTTTAATCTTATTTCTTACCTTTTCCTAGAAAAGTTAGTTAAGTACAATTCAGTATTATTATTTTAGACTTTGGGAAGAGGGCTGGAAAGAGCGATATTATTTGCACAAATTTAGTGTTTCGAAAGAAAAAGATCCAGTATATTTTCAGAAGTTTCGCAAGCATACTGTAAATATATTTTCAATTTTTTATATATATATATATTTTATTAATGGTATTTAAATAGAGATAGTAATTTATAATTACATATATAAACAATACTGTGTAAGTAATTTTAAAGTATATAATATATATAGCAAAAAATATAGCAATTATTATAAATAAACCAGGTATAATAGATACAGATAATAATTTTATAAATATGTTATGTTTTATTATAGATAATTAGTTTTATTAATGTATTCAGTTTAACTTTTACAAATTATTACATAACATCAAGAAAATTCCAGATTTAAAAAAAAAACCATCATGAGCATTTTCTATTATTATTAAAATTTTGTTTACATTTTCTCTTACTATTTCAGACCAGTTAATTAGATATCAGATTTTAACTGAATAAAAGTTTTGGTCAGATGTTTACTTTGTTAGATTTATTGATTTTGATTAAATAACACTTTTTAGTAAAAATTAACATTTGTGGAAGAATCCTTATTAAAAAGTTCTGCTGAACCTTTAGTACTACTTCTTTACTATACACTCTTTTTCTATGCAGTTTTTCAACTTGTTTATCTTCCTAACCATATAATCTTGTATTTATTTTTAAGGATTCCTAATATTTCTGTAAATAAAGTTACTTAGTCCAATAATAAAGTTGTTTATGCATCTACTCGAGAGATTTCAGTAGATGACTTTTACCTTTAAATTATCTTTTTTTAAGCACCCTAAATTAGCATAAAAATATATAGGATACAGAATAGTTTTTCTTAATTTAGTCAGTATTTTTTATTACTAATCTTTTTCTCTTCAAAATTTATTTCTTTAATACAGCTTTATTTTATCTTTATATTTCTACAATCTAATGATTTAATAAAATTTATATATTTTTTTGGCAACAATAGTTTAAAAAGAGATCTTTAGTTTAGAAGAGATCTTTTGTTTAAACTTTTTTTTTTTTGTTTCACTTGATCTGCCCTACCTTTACAGAAGCCTTTTTTTTTATGTCATTTTTTAAAACAAAATTTTAGAATAAAATTTCAAATTGCATTAAAAATTCTGCAACATTATAATTAATTTCTGTATTATTAAAAAACATTAAAAACATTAGAACTAAACATTCGTTTAATCATTTCTAATTTTGAAAATTTTGAATTCATTTCTCACAAAAAAAAACTCACCTGATGTTCAGCTCTCTATGACAAAACAAGATGACTTGTCTAGTTTATGAAATGGCTTAAGTATTGTATTTTAAATTAGACAATATATATATATATATATATATATATATATATATATATATATATATATATATATATATATATATATATATATATATATATATATATATATATATATATGTATATATATGTATATATATATATATATATATATATATATATATATATATATATATATATATATATATATATATATAATAAAGTTAATAAAAAGTTATATATTAATAAAATGAGAGAAAATTTGCATTAAAATTCATTTAATGTGTATTTTTTCCAATACTTAAGTTGCTAAATCTTTTTTCCGATAGATAAGTTGCTAAATCTTATTAACAGCATTTGTGTTAATAAGATTTAGCAACTAATAATGTATAAATAATATAACATTTGGTAACAACTTCAGAAGAGACAACTTCAAAACTGCAACCCATTATTAATAACATTATGGCGTCAAGAAACACAGATTTTTTGCAGCTATTGAATCAAACTTCCTCAAATTCTTACCAAGGACAAAAAACTCAATTTCAAATTGATATGCTGGATTGGATAAGGCAGCTGACCGCTCATGTCCTTGATCTTTAGGGAGAGATCAGCTTGCTGAAAGCCCAGGCAACAATAAACAAAGAGACAATTACAGCTCTAAAACAAAAAGAAATTGATTTTGAAAAAGAATTTACTATCCTGAAACAAGCGGAACCAACAAACAGCGGGGTAATTAACTCAAAGGATGCACAAAAATAACAGACAGTGATAAAGCCATTGTTCTTCAAGTCACTTGAGAACAGATCGAAAGAGAAAAAATTGGACATAATGTAATTATGGCCGGAGTCAATGAATGTGATTTAGAAGATCCAGAAGAAAAAATAACAGGATAAGGAAAGCATCGAATCACTGATAGTTGCCCTAGGACTCAAAAAAGAAATTGTCAAAAGTGTACACAGAATAAAACAACAGCAGCAAGTAAACTCGTCAAATGGAGTAACAAATGCAACCAACACGTTTGTAAACACAATAAGTGCAACTAAACGAACTCTACTAACAATTGTAGTTCTCGATAACCATAATAGCCAAATTGAACTGTTAAAGAAGTGTAACATGCTAAGAACAATGGAAGACTGCGACAATGTGTGCATTGATAGAGATAAAACAAAAACAGAATGAGATGTAGAAAAGAGACTAAAAATTGAAAGAAATGAGGTAACAGCAAACTAACTCACGTTGAACAAGAAAATAGAAAAATCCTCAGATACAAAAAAGAAACAAATGGAAATGGAAAATGGCCCTACTATTGGGGGTATACAATGGAGTACTCATATGGGTGCCACACCAAGAAGACCAATCAAATTTATAGCAAAAGAACCAAACAATAAAAATTGTTGCAGCCTCATTGACATGTAAAAAAGAAAAACAACTCGATAAAACTTGTCATCAATCAACAACTTAATAACAATAACAAACAATGCTCAACATCATCATCTCAGCCCACTAAATTATGCTGCAATTCCATCATCAAATATTAGCCTGATCAAAGCAACAAAAAATGAATACCTTCACCAATTCGGTTTGCCACACAAGGCCACAAACTCGTTTTCAGCTAACAGTATAGTAATATTATCAAACAATGCGCAACAACAACATCTCAGTCATTGTTTTTAATACTTGGGAAATGCAATACTTTTTTTTAATACTTTACTTTACTAATACTTAATTATTTTAATACTTGGGAATTGCAAGTTTGACTATAGTTAAAAACTTGAGTTTTTTTCTTTTGGGAGCACCCTGACTTATTTTCAAAAAATGCAGCAATCTTTGGAATATTTTCTTTCTACCTTAGCGATTCAACCACTTCCAACTTTTCTTTTTAGAGATCCATTCTCCAGTTTTACATTTTTATTGTAAGCAGTTGATCTGGGTAAACCCCATTCAAGCTTAGCAACAAACGCTTTACTTTTTTCTCAATTTTTTTGGAAAAAAATTTCCATCATTTTTTCGAGGTCCTTTACTTTGACCATTTTATTTTCAATATTTGAATAATATATTTAACTTAATTAAATTAAATTTAAATAAATTATATAATTCTCTTTCAAATAAGTATAAAGGTTTTTTTGTGTGCATGAAATAAATTACATAATAAATGCAATTAAAATTTGTCCGAAACTTTTATAGGATGTTATTTATAATAAAGTGAGTTTTATATTGGAATTATAGTAGTTAAATTATGTTACATAGCATCTAATGTTTTATTCATAAGGTGAATTTATAAAACTGCAAAACTGGTGTTTTATAAGTTCAATTAGCATGTCAAGTAAGAAATGAAATTAGCATTAGTCATTTATGAAGAAAAAAAAAAAGATTTTTTAAAAACATTTTAGTTTTCTAAGTAGTTCAATATGTTGACAAAGTAATAGTTTTAGCAATTTAATAGTAAAATCGAAATAATATTTTTTGTATGTATTAAAAATGAAAAAGTTAGCATATTTTAATATTGTTTTAAATATTAATGTTAAAATTGAAAACTTTATTTCTCCCTTTTTATGAAATTCTTTATTCTAATTTAGGCTAATGAGTATGTAATTGGTTTGTGTTGGGTGCTACGCTATTATTATCAGGTTAGTTGCTACACTATTATCAGGTTTGTTGCTATGCTATTATTATCAGGTTAGTTGATACACTTCTATGATTAAGTTAGTTGCTCTGTTAATAACAGAATAATTGCTACACTATTATTATCAGGTTAGTTGCTGCAATATGCTACACTATCTTGTTTTATTATTTAAGGGTTGTTGTTCATGGAATTGGTTTTATCCTTTTCACTATGCTCCTTTTGCATCTGATTTTGGTGATATTGAAGACTTAGATGTAAAGTTCGAGAAAGGCACAGTACCTGTAAGTTATTTATTAATAATAAATATTATTTTTACAACATAAGAATAATGATTTTAAATAGATAAGGTAAAAAATGTACTTTTTAAATTTAGTTTAAACCGTTGGAACAGCTTATGAGTGTTTTCCCTGCTGCAAGTGGAAAATTTTTACCTCCAACATGGAGATCTCTAATGTCAAGTCCGGTATTTGTTTTTTTGATTATATCCTTTAAATTGTTAAATACAAGCTATTATGATACTGCTATAAAAAGTCAAACATAATTAAATGTCAGGAAATATATTATAAATGTCAGGCAAAAATTGGTTTTGGTTTATTATAATAAATCGTTTTTTTTTTTCTTTCCTTTTTTCAAAAATAATTCCATTGATTCAAAGGAAAAGAAATTCATTTTTTCAATTGGATTTATTTATTAACAAAATAATAGCTTAGTATCAGAAATGATTGCACATTTCTGACCTGTTTTTTTTTTTTTCTTATCTAAGAAATGATTTATACTCAAAAACTAATTTACTAATCAAGCGTTGCTTTTATATGCTCATTATAATATTTTTCGAAAAGTATTATGGTACAAATTCTGTTTTTTAGGATTCTCCTATTCTATTGTTTTTTAGGATTCTCCTATTATTGATTTTTATCCTACAGATTTTAAAATTGATTTAAATGGAAAAAAGTTTGCATGGCAAGGTAGCTATTAATTTTTGTTTTTACAAATTGATTATTGTAACAATTAGTTTACCTTACTATTTTTAGGTTGTTTTTTTTTTATCTTATATCATTATCCTTTATTATTATTATTTTATTTTTTTTTTTAATTTTTTTAAAACTTTAAAATCATAAATGTTCAATATTAGGTGTGGCACTTCTTCCGTTTGTCGATGAAAAAAGACTTCATAGAACACTTGTTAGTGTGTACAATGACTTGACAGAGGATGAGAGTATGTTTTTTTATAATCTTTTTCTTTTCTTTCACTTAACATAAACACTTCATCAATTTTCTTTGTCGTCCAAGTGACACATAAAACTAACCTTTTATATAGAAATTTGCGTCTAAACTGCTTACGGGTTAGTTTTTTATTTACAAGTAGAAATATGTATAACAAATCTTTTTATATTTAAAATAAGCTGATATTGCTTGTGGGTTCGTTTTTCTTTTTTTTCTTTTTTTTATTTTTCTGTTAATTAAAATTGAGTTGATAATGCCGCCAAGCGGCAAAGTAACTTTCTGCCGAAAGGCCAACTTTTTAGGGAGGCAGAAGCTGTAAGTGGCGGCCTCTCATTCAATTTTTAGCCGCAAAATGTTCTTTCTTCTGCCTCCAATAGCTTCTACTCCTCTATTGGTGGCTGCAGCCAGAGTTAGTTTTTGGAGGCAAAATGTTTTGGAGGCTGACGCCATTAGGGTGGCGGAAACCATTGTTGCTGCCCCAAAAAAAACTTTGGAAACAGAATCATTTGGAGGCCGCTTCTAATGGCTTCTGTCTCCTAACTGGCTGCGACCGCCAAATTGGAGGCAGGAATGTTTGCCTCCCGCCGGCAAATGTAATGAAAAATAATTGCTCGTTTGCTTTAATGCAATTAAATATTAACTAGAAACAAATGTTAAATATTTGACATCAAATTTCATTTTATATGATTATGAGCAGTATTTAAAAAAGTTCTAATTTAAAAAAAAAAAAAAAAAAGTTAAAAGTTGGAAATTTTACTTCTATGCCATTGGCGAATAAATCTTTTTGACTGAAAAAAAAAAAAAAAGACTGATTTTGGTAAAAGTTTTTTAGAACAAGTTGACATGCTAAAATTACATTAAATACTAATGTTAAATATTTATTTTTAATAATTGAATATTGTAAAAGTTATTGAAAAAATAACTGTTAATGTTTATAAAAAGTTTGCGACTACGCTGTATTATGCTAATAGTTTTGCCAAATTACAACCAAAAAAAATAAAATTTATAAACTTTAAATATAAATACTTTTATAAATATTATTTATATTTTACTCTATAATTTTAAAACGTTTAAAAATATAGACTCATTTACTTTTACACGTTTTAAAGTTAGGCGATTAAAAGTTTCAAATATTTAAAAGTTAAAAATTTATTCGATAGTCCTAGGAAAACAACCGCTCTGGCAAAATATTATTTTTTTTTTCAAATTTTTTTTTTAAATAATCAATAAATCATACAAAACAAAACTTTGATGTCAAATATTTAACATTTGTTCTCAGTTAATAATTTAATTGCTCGTTAACTTAAAGGCAAACGTGCAAATTTTCATTACATCCGCCGCCGGGAGGCATTTTCGCCTCCAATTTATCGGCCGCTGCCAGCTGGGAAGCAAAAGCTATAGGAGGCAGCCTCCAAATGGTTCTGCCTCCAAAATTTCTACTGGAGGCGGCCACCATTGGCTTCCTCTCTATTGGCGTCGGCCTGAAAAACATTTTGCCTCCAAAAAAAATCTCTGACTGTGGCCGTCAATAGAAAGGCGGATGCCATCGGAGGCGGAACATAAAAAATTTTGCCGATAAAAATTAATTGGGAGGCAGCCGCCGTCTGCTGCGGAAGAAAAGTATAAATACTTTTCATTTTTAAAATTTGCTAAAATTGCTTGTGGGTTTGTATTTTTTTTTTTTTTTAATCTTTCAAAAATAGTTTTATTGACAAAAAAATTTTGGTTTCATACTATATATCGTAACTCTTTGTAAAGACTAAATAGTAGAAAATAAAATATAGCAAAAACATTAGCTAAAAAATATAATCTTTTTTGTACTAAAAAGTAGAAAATAAACTTTTTAATTTAAATTAAATAGTTCAGTAAACTAAAGATTGACAGGTTTTTATATAAATCTTGCGCAGAACTGTCAATCTTTAGTTTACTGAACTATTAAATTTAAATTAAAAAGTTTATTTTCTACTTTTTAGTACAAAAAAGATTATATTTTTTAGCAAATGTTTTTGCTATATATATTTTTTTTAATTTAAACTATGTTTTAATTAAAGATAACTTGAAAGTATGCTAATTAATTTTAAGGTGTTCATTGTTATTTTCAATAAAAAATATTGTAAATCTATTTAAGTTGTTTTTTTGTTGTTTTTGTTTTGAAAAAAAAGTTATAATTTATTCTTTAAATTTATAGTTCGAAGGTCACGTCGTGATGATGAAGTGTTGTTTGTAGGAAAAGCCAATCCTCTTTTTGACTACCTTATAGGTTTACATGAAAGTGGAATGTTAAAAGAGGTAAAAGATTGAAATAGACTAAATTTGAAATGTTTTTGTTGTTATGGTTGAAAAGGCTAAAAAATTACATGCATAATGATAGAATTAACAATAAGTTACTGATCCAATTTCTATTCACATGCACAATGATAGAATTAAAACTAAATTATTGTGCCGATTTCTATATACATGCATAATGATAGAATTAACAATAAACTTCTGTTTTTAATTAATTAGATATCAAAAACTTTATTGATAAAATTTTATTAGAAATACCTTGTCCATACTGTTAGATAGTAAATTGTGTTAGATTTAACTTTTTTTTTTTATTCACTCAATTTGTTTATTTTTAGAAACAGAACATTGTCACAGATTTATCCTTGGGTGTCAGAGGAACAGTGTACTATGATGAAAATGGAGTTCTTCCAGGAAAGTTAGTAAAATAGTTGAATTTTAAACATGACAGTGTCAGATGATTAAAGATATGAATATTGGACGTGTTGTATAATAAAAAAAAGGGTTTTGTTATTAATATTAACAATGTAATTTCTGACAAAATTTCTGTTTTATACAAAAAATATTTTTTTTAATTTAGGCGATACGTGTGTCCGCTACCTGACGGTGAACATATTGATTGTACACAAACGTTTAGGTATTGTTTTGAAAACCCATTTTGTGTTAAATTGTTTGTGTGTTAATAGTGAAATTAATGGTTATAATTTATATATGCTTTGAATTTAGTGTAAAGTACAACGATCCTGTTTATGAAGAAGATTTCATTTATCTTGCCAGAGTTCTCGATAAAGCAACGTAATTATTATCATTTGTTATCTTTTTTATCATCTTAAAATGACTTTGTTAAGAACTTATTTATTTTTTAGGCCACCAGACCGTATATTAAAACCAGGAGATTTTGAGCAAAATAGACAGTGGTCGCCTATGCCAGGCATGGGTCGTGGTTCACGTAATCCCAACCATATAGGAAGCGGTGGTCATAGAATGATACGGTTTAACTTTTTTTCACAAAAACTTCGATAATTATGAGCAATTTTTTATATATATTTACTATATATTTTAAAAAGTTATAATTTTTCGTAAAATATCTTTAGACATGAACTGGCTTCTAATAGTATCTCGCCTCGCTATCGAACATCGTCGCCTTATGCACAAACCCCTTTATCTTATCAAAGTCATCAAGACGGGGGTCGCAACAATAGTTTTAGTGGCTACAATAATTCACCAAGAAGTTATCATACCTCTCCGGTAAATATCAATAGTTCTAGAAACTACAACAATAATACTAGAAGTTGTGATAATTCACCAAGAAGTTATAATTCACCAAGAGACAATCAAACATATAACCGAGGTGATTATCACTCTCCTCGCCTTGTTTATAATTCGTCACGTGATCATAATTCATCGTTTGGAAGTTATGGCACACCTCAAAGAACATTCAGCTCGCCACAAATCGAAGGATGTGTATGATTTTTACTTTTTTTTGCTTTTGTTTCATTTTTTTAAAAATTTTAAACGTGTACATAATGTTTGTAAAATTTCCGTTATTTTGTATTTTTATGCAGAATCAGCAACCATGGAGCAGTGTTAGGCCTTCTTTTTGTTTACCATCCCCGCATAGCGACAGAGACGATCTTGAACGCCAACGTTATAGTGCTGATCGTGGAAAAAATCAAAGTCAAAATGATGTAAGTAGATGTTAAAAAATAGTTTATTAGAATTCATTATTTTCTTTTTATATTTTTAACGCTTACATAATGTTTTAATATGCTTTTTTTTTTTTGGCAGAACCGTCGACGATCTTATTCAGATGTTCAAAAACCGAGGTGGTAGCTACTAAAACAACTAAGCTAAAAGTTATTATTTAAAAAAAAATAACAGCTTTCTGGCACAATATTGTTCCTTCAATTTTTAAATTTTAGAAACTACCGCAAAATGTATTTGATGAGTTAAATAGATTAATTGCTAACTGATTTATATTGAGAGTTTTTATAATTGATAAATTTAGCTGCCGTGGCGCAACTGTTAAAATGCTGACATCATTGATGTCAGTATGCCATAACATTGACAGCTGTCAATGATGTCAACATTTTAACAGTTAAGAATTCTATATCTTCACCTTGACATGCTTAGTTCTCATACTTTTCTTTATTACACAATGATTCGCAATCGCAAATAATTTCTCAATATTGATAAAACCATAATAGACGATTTCAGAGTTAGCGTATCCATCTTGGAAAAATATTCTTGGGGGTACAAGTTGAACTTTGAACTTTCCGTTTTTATGCGAAATTTCATATAAAAGTATTAAAATTTTCTTAATTTAAGTTCAAAATAACTCGTAGTTTATTAGTTAATTCTTGTTTTAAAAATATTAGGGAAAAATGTTAAACTTGTTGCAAGAGCTTTTGCTGTTATGGAACTTATTCCTAAAATTATATTTTCACAATTTAAAACCAAAATGAAAGGTGATATTATACCTTTTTTATGGTTTTAAATTTTGTATTTAGTATTTTAAATGGTGCAAACTATACCGTATGAAAACTTTAAATCAACAATTCACTTTATTATATACATTTTATTACAGTGAACTGTTTTATCTCATTATAAAAAATTAGTTATTAGTTTAAAACTAGTTAATTAAATTGTATGTGTTATAATGCCAAGTCATAGCAGATCTTCAGTTAGTGTCTGTAATAATGACAAAAGATACCCTGACAAAATTATAAAACATAGGGAAATTTAATAATGCACAAGTTACCAACATGTAAAGAAAGAAGAAATGCATAATACATCATGATAACACTAGTATAAAAGATTTTGTTGTTCCTAAAAACATTTTTGTTTGTCCGAATCACTTTCTTGAAAAAAAACCTACAAAAGATAATCCTTTGTTTTTTAAAATCTCTACTAATACCATAGCAACACCAAAAAAAAGAAAAGTACCTTTTCCACGAAACTCAATTATTAATTCTAAAAGTTATGAAAGAAACTAATTCAAATTTGATGGATGGTTGTTGTAGTTCTAATGTTGACTGTGGTGATTCTAAGTTGAATTTTGTTGTTGCAGGTGAAAGAGAAATAGCATCATCTAGTGAATTTCCAGTGTCTGTCCCAATAATGTTCTGCCAGTTGACACGTGAAAACGATGTGCAATTTTTTTACAGGTTTGGTAACACTAAAATTTTCTAGTGTCTTAAATTATCTCAAGCATAAAGTTTCTCTTATGACGTAAAGCTTCTCTTATGACTTTCATAACTAAAACCTTTTTAGAATTAATAATAGAGTTTCGTGGAAAAGGTACTTTTCTCTTTTATGGTGTTGTTATGGTGTTAGTAGAGATTTTTAAAAACAAAGTTGGATCAGGATTATCTTTTGTAGATTTTTCTTCAAGGAAGTGATTTGAACAAACAAAAAAGTTTTTAGGGACAACAAAATCTTTTATACCAGTGCTACCATAATGTATCCATGCATTTCTTCTTTTTTTTATATGTTGGTAACTTGTGCATGTCCAAGTATTATTTCTCATTATTACAGATACCAACTACACATTTGATATGACTTGGCATTATATTACATACTAGATATTACTTACTAAATGCTTTTATCTTTAAAAAAACTAGTTTTATAATGAGATCAAACAATTATCAAGCAACAAAAAATAATAATATAGAATGTGACCAAAAAATAATTATATCAAAAAGGAGAATAATAAGTATTAAAAAAAGTCAGAATAACAACAATAAAGGTAAAAGTGAATGAGCTGTTTATTTTATTAAGGTGTCACTCCAATGACTAGTTTTAAACTATACAAGTGACACCAAACCTTATTTTGTAAACTATACATAATAACTAATTAAATTTATAATGAGATCAAACAATTCACTGTAATAAAATGTAAGCACTAAAGTGAATTGTTGATTTAAAGTTTTCATATGGTATAGTCTGTACCATTTAAATTACCAAAATAGAAACTTTTCTTTACAATATAAACTGTATGAATAATTAAATAAAAAAAATGAAAACTTATTTTATATTATAAAATTTAAAACCATAAAAAAAGGTATATTATCACATTTTTTTTTTTGTTTTAAATTGTGAAGATATAATTTCAAGAATAACTTTCATAGCAGCAAAATCTCTTGCAACAAGTTTAACATTTTTTCCTTAAAAATAATTTTTTTGCGAGTTAGTTTAATCATATTTGCTTTAAATATAGATGGTTTGGTTTTTTAAATACAAAACTTTTTAATGTCTAAAAAATGGTTTCCAATAGCAGTAACTATGTCAAACAAGAATTGTGCGTTTAAGTTTAAATGAATCAGTTTTTGTTAAAACGGCGTAAGTCACAAAATACAATTTTTTCAAAATAGAAAAAAATCTAAAAAACTTCTTATTAAAAAGATTTTATAAAATTAATTTGATAGTAAAAGTTACTGTTTTATAAAATTAATTTGAAAGTAAAAGTTACTGTTTTATAAAATTAATTTGAAAGTAAAAGTTACTGTTTTATAAAATTGGTAAAGTTTAATCAAGTTTAGAATTTTATTTTTAAACCAGTTGCAGTTTCGGAACGAAAATTGCAAGAAAAGTTGTAATTGTTAAAACGAATGTATGTTTTATGGTTCCTGATGGTTAGTATATTTTTAAACAATATTTAAAACTTGAGTCAACATAAAAACTTAAAAAAACAATATATTATAAAAAAAGTTTATAAATTCCACTAAGAAAAAGAATTATAAAAGAAATTATTTTTATTCCTTATAAACCAAGAATTAACTAGACAATTCTTACATTCTTAAAAAGTCTTTAAAAAAAATTTATGTAGCATAAATAATTTAACACTATTCTTAACATAATATGTAAAGTGGAAGGCACGCACTGCATTAATTAAACTTACTATAGGAAAAATCATAGAGCAATGATTGATGAAACTTATCTAAAGATCTTTAATTTTTATTGTAAACACCTTCCAGAGATTGTTATAGTCTCCTTAAGATGTTACAATTAGCAGGTGTGTGAAGCATAAAGGCTTGGTTTCTTTGAAGCTTCAACTCACCCTACTCTATAGTACTCTAGGATTTTGTTAATTTTGGTTTGAATTAAAAAAGAAATTCTTGGAAGATTTTTATTATATTTTCTTTTATATACATATTTTTTAACATTATTTATAAATTTAGTGAAGTTGCCTCGATTTCCCAAAACACTTTTTTAAAATAAATCAATTTAGATTTTTGAGTAAACACGCTATTAATTTCAATAAAACCAATAGCAAATAAAGCATTTGCACTATTGGACAAAACATTTGCAACCAACATCGAACAATGCTAAAAAATGTTCCTAATTTTACATGTCTTAAAAACGAAACGAACTATACTATCACAGCAAAATGTTCAGGAGTCTGGAGTCATAGCATGTCATGACATGAGCAGTCAGCTGACAGGTGACAGCACACAGGCAGAATTTTGTTGACAAGTGCCATTTTGCAGCGGACAAAACAAGTGCAACTTTTTTGGTTTGTTTCATTTTCTTAAGTCTGGTCCGTGTTAAAGTCACGGAAGTTTTTTAATAATTAAAGGAAGTATCCAGAAGTTTCCAGAAGCATGCAGAAGTTTCCAGAAGAAGCAACCAAAAGTATCCAGAAACATTCAGAAGCATCCAGACGCATTCAGAAACCTCCAGAAGCATCGAAAAGAAGCATCTAGAATCTTCCACAACAGGTTCACACTGGTTCAATTTACTATATGAGACACGTAAACCGACATGTAATTCAGTCAGTATATGGAAATCAATCAGTCAGTATTATCAAGACAGTTTATCGAAGTGAGTTTTATCAAAGTGTTTTATCAAAGAACATCAATACAAGAAGTGAAATACAACAAATGTTTCATAACATCAATACAGTCCACATCCAACCAAGACGTTGTGTTCCACAGAGCATTATTGTATCATCACAAGGTAAATGTAACACGGTAAGCCTTGAGATTTTTATTATTTTTATGAATTCAAGCGCAAAAATGGCTTCCGACAGTCTTGGTTTGAAACTAAAAAAGAAAATTATTGGCGATTACGTAAGTGGAATGCCACAAAAAAGTATTTGTGATAAATATCGCGTAAAAAAATGGACCGTATCAAGACTATGTTCCAAATATCGTTCTGCGGGGAAGTTGGCAGCAGATAACAAAGGTGGAAGACCGCGCTCCAACACTTCTAGAGAGGATTCTATGATTGTCAGAACCGTCAAGAAGGATCCCTGGATATCATCAGTCGAGATACAAAAGCAATTACAGCTGTCTGTATCAAACCGAACAATCAGACGACGTGCTGTTGAAGCCGGATTGTTTTCTCGACGCCCTACAATGAAACAGCTGATTTCACTGAAGAACTAAAGAAAAGTCTCCTGTTTGCTACATCTCATATTGACTGGAATTTGCAGAAATGACGAACTGTCCTGTTCAATGATGAATCGAAGTTCAACATCATTGGGAGCGATGGCATTTGCCGTGTACGTCGATCGGCCGGAAAATGCCTCGATTTATGTTACTGCCATAAGACTGTGAAGCATGGTGGAGGCAATATAATGGTCTGGGGGTGTTTTTCTCCTAATGTTCTAGGTCTAATACATCGAAACAATGGAATAATGGACCGTTTCATGTAAAAAATATCCTGAAAGATGTTATGTTACCTCATGCTGAATGGAATGTGCCAATAAAATGGGTTTTTCAGCAAGACAACGATCCGAAACACACTGCAAAAGTAGTCAAGCAGTGGTTTCAAGACAACCACCTATCGGTAATGGATTGGCCGCCTCAATCTCCGGATCTCAACCCTATTGAGAACCTGTGGGAGATCGTCAACCGCAGAATTAATTGTGAAGGTGTTCATAATAAAGATCAACTGTTTGAACAAATCCAAAAGGCCTGGGCAGCAATTCCACAAAGTTTAATTGATCACCTGATCGAATCTATACCTC